GCTGGTTAGAACGCTCCTTCTGTATGACCCATTACCTGCCCCCCATCATCTCTACCTTTCAATTTGAGAGTGGCACTTGGACTGACTAATATACTCTCTCTACCCCTGAAAAAGCAGCTCAAAATGGGCTGTGGTGGTATTTTCAAGTATGATATGATATCAGATGCTTAAAATCTAAGGAGCGATGTTGTTATGGAATACAGAAATAATTTTATTGAAGTAATTAGGCTGTGTCTTAATCTAACCGATTTTGTGTTTTTCAATAACCAGGGCAGTTTACTTATTCAGTTCTCCATTGGTATCCTAAAAAACATTGCTAGAACTGACTATTGAGTTTCTCTGTTAATGACGAAATACCCCCTTTTTTGAATTTTCTTTTTTTAAAAATATTTATTCTTAATTTTTAGGTGGACACAATATCTTTATTTTACATTTATGTGGTGCTGAGGATCGAACTGAGCCACAACCCCAGCCCCCTCTTTTGTATTTTCAAGAGTGATTCATCCTCTTTCTCTCTTCCATTCCTTCTTTCCCCCACTGTTACTGTCACATGAAGGATATGAGAATTACCACCCAGGATCAAACTTGATTCACTTAATTTGCATAGATTATAAAAGGTTATACATGGTTGGGCTCTTCTGGAAGCAGGCCCTAAGCCAAGAATTTAAGTGAAAGTGATTTATGAAGGAAATCACAGGATAAACCAGTAAGGAAATGAGGAAAAGGAGGATAGTGAGGGGAAAATACAGACATAGGTCATGTTTCTCTAAAGTCCTAGACTCCACATGATTGGGATCGGATCTGGAGTGTAATCTACATCTCAGAATTTGCTGTACATGGAGATTTTTTCCTTTCTGTTTCACTGGTTAATCTTTAGCTGTAGGGAAGGTTTCTTGAGTGCCCAAGAGCTATCTTCTGGAGTCCTTTAAGAATGAACAATATATTAACAAGGAAGAATGGCTAAATTCAGGGACCAGGTGCACAGATCTGGGAAAAGAGATCTAAGAATATTTAGATAGGACCTCAGCAGTGTTCACCACAAAGGTTAAAAGTGGTCAGAGTCAGAATATCAGAATATTAATCCAACATGTTCCCTTCCTTTTACATTTGAGAGGCTTGATATAAAGGTAAAATGATTTGCCCCAATTTCTACAGTTGCCTAATAACAGAACAGGATTAGAACCCACATGACCTTACTCCCTAACCAATGAATGCTCTTTTGCAGCAGCTGATATGACAAAGGATGTTGGCTGAAATAATGTTTTAATTGTTACCATTACACCTCAGTTCTCTTTAATATTGTAATTATTCATCCAAACTTTTAAAAACACATTTTGAATCAACTTTATTAGATTATATTATATAATAAATTGATCTATAAAATATATATATGTATTTTTTATTGTAGATGGACACAGTACCTTTATTTTATTTATTTATGTGTGTTGCTGAGGATCAAACTCAGTGCCTCACACATGCCAGGCAAGCAGTCTATCACTGAGCTACAATCCCAGCCCAAATTGCATCTATTTTCAGTATATAATTCATGAGTTTGGGCAAATGTGTACCATGTAACCATTGCAATAATCAACGTTCCTTTCATTACCTCAAAAAGAACATTTGTGTTCCATTGTAACAAGTACTTCCCAGCACTGCTGAGTCCAGACAACCACTGATCTGCTTCCTGTCATTGGATTCAGTTTACTTTTGTCTGGGATTTCATATAAATGGAAACAAGCATCGTGTACTCTTTTGTGTCTGCCATCTTTCCCTCATCATGTGTTTGAGATTCATACATGTTGTATGTTAGTATTATGCTTTCTTTTATTGCTGAGTGGTATTTCATTGTGTGATTATACAAAAATTTACTTATGACTTGTAATGGACAGTTTTGTCTATTATAAGTAAAGCTGTTAATGAAAATTTGTATACAGGTCTTTTTTGTGGATATGTATTTTCATATCTCTTGGGCAGATAACAAGTTATTGAGTTACTGGGCTGTATGGTAATGGCTAAGTTATACCTCCCACACCCAAATTATGGTATTTTACATTTCTAGTATCCATGAATGAGAGTTCAGTTGTTCCACGTCCCATCACTTGACGTTACTGTTTTTAAATTTTAGTCATTTTAGTTATGGTGTGGTGGTATCACTTCATAGTTTTAACTTGCATTTCCCTGATGATTAATGATGTTGAGCCTCTTTTTACCTGCGTCCTAGCCATTAGGATGGAGTGTGTGTGTGTGTGTGTGTGTGTTTATTTCAGGACTGTGATAGCTGTTTTATCCAGATTATGCTTATTCTATCATCTTTACATTTTCAAGTTTCTTTCTACTAATTGATTATTCTCCTGGCTGTGAGCCATATATTTGTTTTGTTTTATCCTATCTAATAACTTTCTACTGGATGCTGAAAAGTAGTTACGTATTTTTGTTTGTTTGTTTGTTTGGTTATTCCTGGGTGCTAGTTTTTTTTATCCTTTAAAAAGAGTTTTCTTCTTATCCCACCACCACCACCCACCCAATAGAGTACTTAAGTTACTTGATTCTTTAGATATTTGTTTTAGAGTTTTATAGGTCATATTCAAAGTAGCTTTTGCTCTGTGTCTTACTTAGCACCAAGACTAGAGTATAACTCCATAGTTGTTGCCACTGAATTTCCCAGATGTTTACTGTAGCCACTTGCCTCTGGCTAGCCACAATTTGAACCTGGCATAGCCCTGCATGTGCTTGAGAATTTCTACTTACAGAGCTCCAATTATTGTTTGCCTGGCCTTATGTGTTGCCCCCATTTGTGCATCTTAGTATTTACCCAGAAACTTAATACAGCTCCTCTACAAATTTCTGGATCTTCTATAACTCCATTCTACAAATTCCGTCTCTCAGGGCCCTCTTGAAATCTGTGCTCCCTCCGCAATTTAGCAGGACCTCCTTTCTCTGCTCAGATTATCCCTTTTGCACTGCTGTCCAAAAATATTTTCAGGCAGAAATGTGGAGATAATCTTAGAGTTCATTTTCCTTCTTTTAGAGATCATAGTCCTGTATTACCTGTTGTCTAATATTCTGAGAATCATTGTTTCATAAATGCTTTTCAGTTTTCTAGTTAGTGGCCCTGTATCATGGTCTTCAATATGCTTTTTTTAAAAAATTAAATCTCCATTTCATGTAATCTGTGAGTATCAAACCTCATGTATTTTCTATATTAAAGGCAACCTCCTTTTTTTCCCAGATTATCTGCAGGTTGTATTTGGTGTTATTGGGGTACACCCAGGCAAAATATTCTGGGAGAGTCAAAATCTTAAGTCATAATACCCTGACTTTTAAAATATTTATATTTATGAAATATAACATGGAAAGTACACAGTTGAAAATACATAGGTTGAACAAATAATTTTGTAATATAATTGTGACAAGTGAAAGAAACAATATTGCTAGCACCCAATAAGCCTCTCTTATGTAATCTTCCCAGTCATAACCCTTCATCTGCCTGGAGACAGCTACTAACCTGTCTCACAGTGGAGAGGTGTAGTACATATCTGTAGACATAGGTGAGATTCCTTAGCCAACCTGCACTAGCCTTCTTGTGAATTAACAACCACTGCCCAGTCCCTTGAAAGCACCATGATATCCCAGTGCCAGACACCAGTGTACCCCAACTTCTTGGCTCAACATGTCACAAAAACATTTGTCTATTATAAAATTTTAAAAAAATTTAGGATGGTCTATATCTTTTTGTTTACATATTTATTTATGCCTTGTGGCTTCTACTACAGTCTTACCAAATAGTGAAGAATTAATTTCAAGTTTAAAAAAGAAGCATAAATTGCTATGGAGGACCCCAGATGAAGAGTTGCTGGCAGTTGAGGGGTTGGCAGGGGGGCTTCATATAAGAGATAGCATATGAGCTTCATTGTAAAGCAGTGGTTCTCAGACTTGGACGTTCATTTGGGTCCTCTGAAGAGCTTTTAAACTACCAGAACACTGGGCTTGTGGCTCAGTGGTAGAGCACTTGCCTAGCATGTGTTAGGTCTGGGTTCAATCCCCAGTATCAAACAAATAGCTCACAAACTACATTTAAAAAATAAATAAAAGTAAGCCTATCAGAGGCTGTATTCGACCTGAAAAGGTTTTATTGGTCTAGAAATTTTTACAGAGTTTCTAGGTGATTCAAGTATGCAGAATCAGGTACCTTAGAATAGAGCATTCTCCTTAAGCCAGGAACTGGGGGTTTGTTTGTTTTTTAATTTATACAGTACATGTACTGACTGATATTTTGATAAAATATAATAAAGATGAATTACTAGAAAAATCAAAAACAAAATAATGCAAACCCCAATATTATTAGATTCTACAGATATACAATAACTGAATAAAATTGATATGAAGATTTCAAAATGTTGACTCTTGATTTCCTACTTATTGTCATGGACAGGAAACTGAACTCATGGATTGTTAGTAGTCTGTGAACCAGATTTGGAGTGGCATTGTTGTAGAGGGCAGACCCTTAGGAGTCCTATATTAATGGAATCATGGGCCAAGCAAAGTCAGTTGAGTACAGAGTGTACAGGGCCTCAAATGCTGTAATGAATAGCTTGCCTTTTATTCTGTTGGTGTTGGGGAGCCAGAGAATTCTCAAGAGAATGATCTGGTTGCCATCCCACTTCACCTACTCTTGCTGGGCATTCAACCTAGGGGCTCACACTTGCTAGGCAAGCATTCTATTACTGAGTTCCATCCCCTCTCCTGAATGGCAACTTTTGTATGATGGATTTATAGTAAGAAGGTATTATTGGCAAGAACCTGAAAATGAAGGGGTAGGGGTTGGAGATTTGGCAAAATAAAAAACAAAAACTCTTGAATTTTTGGAGAAATCACTCTAGAAATGCTAATAAACTCTTTAGAGGATACGAGAATTTAAACTAGGTAGTCCCTTGAGCTTAAATCCTCTAAACACGGTTAAATTGTAAAACAAAGCAAACCTCACCTTGTTATATTTTCAGAAACCACGCAGATAGAAGATCCAAGAAAACAATGGCGAGGGGAACAGGAGAAAATGCTCAAGGACTATCTCTCAGTGGCTCAGGATGCACTCAGGACACAGAAGGAGCTGTACCACGTGAAGGAACAAAGACTGGCTTTGGCCCTAGATGAATATGTACGATTAAATGATGCCTATAAGGAAAAGTCAAGTTCTCACACAAGCCGTAAGTACAGTGTGGCTGTTCAGACTTTAGAAATGGAGACGGGGTTGTAGATAATAGAAGGCCAGTTGCACTTCTGTGAAGTTTAATTTTGAGCCCTTTTCCTTTCCTAGGCAAGAAGAAGTCCTCTAAGCCATGAGAGGTGAGGGAAACTTACAGATTTCTCAGTAAAATATCTCAGACCCGTTCCAGATAAAAGTTTCCCCATTTGGGAATTATGCATACCTTCTGTTTTTACTCTTGCCTCTTATAATGCTTTTTATTCATTGATGAGTTAATTTGTACTTTTTCAGAACAAGGCAAGTCATTTGGCCCCATTTGCTACTCTTGTACAATATTTTTAGTGATGAGAAACTGGAACTATTAGTTAGAACAAAGTTTCTGCACACTGCCCCCCCCCACCCCATTTACTTCTCCTTTATCTTATATATGGATAATCTGGAGCTGATCCTTTTAAAAGAAGCAGTTTTGATGGGCTTGGAAGTTCTACTTAAATTATAAGTACATGCAAAATGTAAATCCCTGATTAGCTGCATCTGCAATATAGTCCTCTAAGGACATAGTATATATACAATCTAGAATAAATTAATTTATGGTATTCCTCTTTCATGAGTTTTAAAAAAATTATAGAGGTTTGAAGATTACTTTTATATTTAGGTGTCTGAATGACAAAGAAATTGCAAAAAGAAAGTAAGTATCCACTGAAGAATATAAATCTTCTTTTTAGAGTCAGTAAATTCTAAAGTGAGAGAACTAGTTAGGCAACTTGAAAATAATTATTCTTTCTTTTTTTCTCTTTCAAAAGTATTCTCAGGATCTTCATCCAGTACTAAATATGATCCTGATATTTTAAAAGCTGAGATCTCCACTACACGATTAAGGGTAAGATTTTTTTTATTTTGGTTGGATGCATAGATACTAAAGGTCATGGAAGGGAGGTTAGTGAGTGATCTTCTATCTCCATTTGGTATAGCAGACTTTTCCGCTTTTCCTTGCTGGGTGGTCTTTTTCCCTTTGTTTAAACAAGTTCGGTATCTGTGATTGAGACAATCTTCGTTCCATTATTGGGATTTATTATTAGCAGAATTTAAATCTTGATAACTTACTTTCTTTCATTGTGCTACATTTTGTCTTTTAGAGCTAAATCAAGTTGTTCTTTCATGAAACAACCCAGTATTTAAAGATGACTGCAACTTAGGTCATAATGTCATTCCTTTTTGAAGTCAGACTTTATTAGTTCCCCACAATTCTTCACACAGGAGTGTTTCCTGATATTTGCCTGAAATCTTTTTGATCAAATAGCTGTTAAGACCAGAACTTGTTTTTCCTTGATTGGGGGGGTGTCTTAACGGCTGTTCACTAAGCAAATTAATAAATGTAACCAATACCAAGATCATAAAATAGATTTTTTACTATAACCACAGAAGTTTCCATTGTGTCCCCTCATTGTCATTACTTTTCATTATTACCCCCTAAAAACAATACTTGTTAACATTGCAGGTTAATTTTTTGTCTTCTTTGTAATTTGTAAAACTGTAATGCTACCATCTGTAGTATTTGATGGCTTCTTTTGTTCAATAGCATTTCAAGATTCATCCAATCTGCTTTTATTGCTAGACAACATTCTACTTTGGTGTACACACCGTAAATTCTTTATATCCCTTTTACCATTGTTATATATGTAGTCAGCTTTTCATTATTGTGACCAAAATACCTGACAAGAACAACATAGAGGAGGAAAAGTGTATTTTGGCTCACAGGTTCAGTACATGGTCACTTGACTCCATTGCTATGAATCTGAAGTGGGACAGAACATCATGGTGGAAAGGCATTATGGAGGAAAACTTCTCAGCTCTTGGCAGCCAGGAAGCAGAGAAAGAGTACAGGGAGCCAGGGACAAAATATATAATCCTCAAGGCATCCCCCAGTGACCTACTTCTTCCAGCCATGTGCTCACCTGCCTATAGTCAGTTACTACCCAGAGCATTAATCTATTCAGAGCATTAATCCATAATTATTAATCCTCTGACTAAGTGATAGCTGTCATAATCTAATCATTTCATCTTTTGCATTAACGCAGGAGCTTTTGGAGGACACATCACATCCAACCTATAACAATATACATTACAGTTTATTGCCAATTTCTTACTGTTAGAGTTACATGTTAATGTACACATCTTTTATGTATATCTTTTGGTGCACATTTTTATTTTTTTTTTTGTGCAGGAGTTGAATTGCTGTGTCAAAAAATACACATTTTAGGGCTGGTAATATAGCTCAGTAGTAGAATGGTTACCTAGAATATGTGAGGCCCTAGGTTTGGTACCTAGCACCTGAAAAATATAAAAGAAAAAACACACTTTAGTGGGTACTATCAGGTAGTCAGCCCTTCTTACTTCCTAATATCTGTACTTAAGGGTCTAAGTTAATTTATATACATGAATTTTGCTTACATTACAGAAGTTTTGAATTTTTGAATTTTTGTATTTTTTTATAATTCAGTTCCCAAATATTTTATTTCTTTATGATTTCTCATAAAAATTTATTCTTTAATTTTCACATAATTGGAAATTTTCTTTTATTACTGATGTCAGCTTAATTCTGATATTTTTTTTTTTCAGTGTACTAATTTGTTTGATTATTCCTGGTTTCTAGTTACTTGCACATTGGCATGAAAAAAATTTTGACCAAAATAATCTCAATATTTTAAATTTTTATGTCTTGATTAATACAATACGAATATCCCCTATATGTTGAATTCTTGGTCTGGTCTGGTTTTTTTTTTTTTTTCCTGTTGGTTTTTGGTTAATGCTTGACTCTTACAGTTGCTTACTTTTTTTTTTTTATTAAGAGACACACAACATATAGAAAAGTCTTAACTTGAGGCTTTGGATGATCTTACCATCCCTCAGAGAGTATTTAGCTTTGTTTCTTACAGGCAGTTGTGTCAGGGTCAGATAATTTTAATCTAGTCAATGTTAGCAATGATTAAAATCTGGGCTTCGGTCCTATTCTAAGATTACATCTGTTTGTAGTTTACCTTTTCTGTTCAAAATCCCAACTGAACTCTTTGAGGATGCTTTATCAGGGCACCTTCTGCTTGATTGAGGCTAAACTGCCAAACTCTCCCTTCCTGCTTCTCAGCTCTGTGAGACTGCCAATAGCTCTCTATATCTCAGTCCTCAGTCATTGCATTCTCCCACCTTTCAGTTTATTTTATAGGTAAGTATCTCAGAAGGAAGAACAGTACAGTATTTGGAGCATGATTCTAAACTTCCATTATTTTTTGGATCTTTAACATAAGTTCTTGCAGTCTTAGTAGTTCTCTAGTGCTTTCAAATAATGTTTACTGTTTAGTTAGTTTAGTTTTCCTCACAGTTTTTCTAATTGTTCTCAGAGAAAGAGCATGGAAAAAGTTTATGTAGGGGCTGGGTGTATAGCTCAAAGGTAGAGGGTGTGCTTAGTATGAGCAAGGCCCTGGTTTCATACCCAGCACCCAAACAAACGAGCAAAATACAAACAAGAATATGTATAGTTACTGGAAGTAAAACCTCTCTTCTGTTTGGATTTCTTAATTTAATTTATGAAGCCATTTATGGAGATCTGTGTCATTCTATAATAAATGACCTTATGGTACCAATTAATTAATATTTCTATGAACATTTCTCAAGACTGTTATGTTTATGTATTGGTTTGTTAAGTGCTTTGGTACTGTATTTCTGTACTGTGTATATTTCTGTGATCTGTTAGGCTAAATAAAAAAAAAAGAGAGATTGTTAGTCTGTCCATTTAAATCCCTTGTAGGAAATGTACAAACTGAGGGAGGGATTTAAAATTAAAAACATACTACAGTATCTCATGCAAATAACCAGAAATTTCTATGCCTTGTTTAACTTCATCCTAAATCTTTTTTTTTTTTTTTTTTTTCGCTATCAGAGATTGAATTCTGGGTTGTTAAACTGCTGATCTCCATCCCCAGCCCTTTTTATTTTCTATTTTGAGACAGGGTCTCAATAAGTTGCTTAGGACCTCACTAAGTTGCTGAGGCTGGCTTTGATCTTGCAATCCTTCCTTGGCCTCCTGAGCCACTGGGATTACAGGCATGTGCTACTGCGTCCAGCTTGTTTAAAATTAGTGAGCAGGGAAAAGGTCTTTTTAGAAATGCTTCTGCAGCTATATGGCCATTATGGCTTATACATGGCTTATACTGTTGTGATGTTTGGAGCTGTGTCATGGTTTGGATACTCTGGTTCTCTTCAGTATTTGTGCATATTTTGGCCAGGTAGCACTGTCATAAGTAGATGGATAATGTGACAGAGTTTTTGAGATTTTGATAATCTGGCCTTTCTTGGCTGGCCTGTCTACCTTACTGATCCAGCCAAGAAAATGCCTGTGTATATAAATCCCTTTCACAATTAATGTCACAGGAATAGTAATGCAAGAATAAACTAACTTTTCCTTGCTTATGTCTCCATGTATTTGCCTGCATTTTGGTCACAGTAACAATTTTTCAGGAATAGCCAAACATTAGTTTCATACTTCATTATTTTGATGCAACAGTATTAGTATTGTACCTTATTTGTTTTACTCAATCAGAGGTGGCCATTCAGGTCTTTGGGAACCCTGTATTTAGGAACATCTGTCTGAAATCTCTTTTCGCATTCTTTAATATTGTGGTCATAGGTATTGATGATCATTGGACTTTAGTGTCCTTCTGGGTCTAATGGAGTAACAATATTTCCTGATACCATCATTGTATTTGTTGAAATGGTGAAATAAATAAGTTAATGCTCCTTATTAAGCTATTCATAACTTTTTAAAATGTTGTATTTAATTGCTTGAAAAAAAACTTTTATGATGAATAATGTAAAATTTTTTACTATTATTTATTCTTATAGCTATTTAGACCTTAATATTCTTGAGGTAAGGAATAAGATATACAAACTAAACTTCAACTTCAATTAAAAAAAAAAAATCTGTGTTTAAGATTGCAAATAGGTGAGATGTGGTGAAAATTTAGTGGAGAATTTTTTGATGAATTTTAATTATTAAGTTTTTATGGTTGTTTATTAATCTAAAATAGAATGTTGAAAGTGTGAAAGAAAATCTTCAGAAAGACAGAAGCATTTGAAAAATTTATTAAGCCCCACAACATACACAACTTATAATTTTGTAAGATAAAGTAAATTAAGGCCCCTTTGATTAATTTTTTTTGTACTCCTAACACACAACTGATAAATGGACAGTGTTATTAATTAACAGTGTACTATCTTTTTTTTCTCGATATCTACTTATACATTGTTTAAATGGAATCACTTTGAATTATTTTTTTATTAAAGAGATATTTAGTTTCTCCTCTCTTGTTTAAACCACCATATCAATCTTTCTAAGCATTTTTCTAACACCTTCATATCCAGCATATTCACAGCATTTAACAAAATTAAATGCAGTTAACTTCTCCTAAGAGGGAATATACTATCTGAGTAGGCAAGATTGACTAAATGATAAATAAATCTAATTGACTAAATAAATGATCAATTTTAAAGAATTTTATAAAGCCTGGAAAAATGTATAAGCAGGGATAGGGAAAATTAAAAAATAAAAGTAAACTAGGAGCAATTAGCTTAAGAATACCTTATTGTGGAAAATATCAAACACTACACATGAATAGTCAGAATGGTCTTTCACATTTCCATCACATGCCTCAAAAGTTTTGTTCTTTTACCTCACACCCCACTGAATTATTTTGATGATGATTAGAGACCATATATCTTAAAAAGCACTACTACTGTTCTTGTCATTATTACTTTTAAAATGTTAAGAATTCTTTATAGTATCCAAATTCTTTGTCATTTTTGGTTTTTCCTATTTGTGTCATAATC